TTTCCCTGCCCAGGGCTGTCCTCCCCTTCCCTCCCTGGCTGAAAGGAGCCTTGCTCCTGCCACAGCCCTGCCCACTCAGCTGCATAAATGACCCCTTCTCAAGGACTGCTGCTGGAGAAGAGAGTGGAGAGCGGTGAAGCACGCTGCCTGCCTGCCTCTTGCTGCCTGCGGTGAGACAGGAGCTGGCTGTGGCTCTGGGGATGCTCCCATGCGGTCTAGAGCCTCCCTTCTCTTGTGGCTGGTCCCAGAGTGCAGCAGGGTCAAGTGAAGTTGGGGAGCTGTGACAGGGGTCCCCAGGGCTGCCTGAGGTGGGTGTAAGCAGCGTCAGCCCCTGACTTTCATGGGTTGTTGATGTCCAGAAGTCTGCAAACCAAAGCCTCAGCTCGCTTATGCAGGGATGTGCAACATGGATATTTCCCTTCAAATCTGACAGAAAAATTGCAGTGGATGGCCACTTGTTTTTGCAAACAATTTGCAAGGAATTTTGCCGTCTCGCCTGATCGGTTGTGTATTGCTTTATTTTCAAATCACTCTCTGATTCACTGGCTCAGCAGATATCTGCTCCAAATCCCTGCACTTGGCATGCTCTGGGACCAGTCCCACTCCTTGCTTTATCTCCTGTCCTTTGTCTTGTTCAAAATCCGGCGAGTTCAGGACGCTCGACACCCTGCAGGGCCAAGGCTGGATTCTGGATGGGATCCTCACCTTTAGCAGCTGGTGCCTGCAAGCACGAGGGGCTCGTGGTGGAGCAAGGTGGAGTCTCACCACATCCCCCGGGACATTTGGCTGCACATACAGCAAGTTGCTGAACAGAGCTCACGTTCTAGCTTTCATCTGGTTTCTACTTGCGAACAAGTGAGCTGCGAATCTTGTTGAAGGGTTAGAAAAGCGATTTGTGTCACCAAATACACCAAAGTGTATTTGCATACACTGCAAATACAGCTGCCTTGGGGTGGGACGGGTAGGGGTCTGCTGCAGTTGTTTCACAGGAGGGAAAAGGCAAAGGAAGGGGAAAAATGTCAATATTTCAGCTTGCTGAGGGGTGCTGGGCAAAATAAGGAGGTTGGAAAGTCCTGCCTCAGAGAGTGAGGATACAGAAAATCCTTGGGAGATGGAAAAGGAGCAAAAGGAGAATGAAACCTGTTCTTTCATACCTTTTCTTGGGTTGGTATTGCAGCTCTGAGGATTTCCTCTGGGCTGAATGTGGCCCTGAGGACCAGAGGGGACTTTTTTTTGCAGCTTCCATCTCTCCCTGAACATGGATTAAATGTGTGTCAGCTCTAGCATGGGCTGTGGGATCCTGGGGTGAGGAACTTCTTTTTGTCTGGTGTTTTCTTGACCCTCAACAAATGAAGTTGAATCTTGCCAAGAAGTTACTCATCTTACAGACGTGTGCACATTGTGGTTCTTAAAACACGTGTTTGAGGCGCTGCTTGCCAAAAATGAGCTGCAGCTTGTAATAGGGGTCTTGGCACTCTCACACAAAGACCAGGATTCGCAGGCTCCATGCTAGTGGAGCTGGGTTCTTGTGTTGGGGTCTCTCTACTGAGTTTCAGGGACTGATATAAATCAGAAGGATTTCCCAAGCTTTAGTTGTGACTTAAATCAGCCAGCCAGTCACCTGGATTCAGTAATTGATTTTCTTCTATTTTCGCCCTTTTTTTTTTACCTGTTTCCCTGAAAAAAGGTCAGGTTTTACTGACCAGCACCTATCAAACCAAGTGCAGCTCTCCTTACCACTGCCCAGTTGTTAAATCTGGTTATTCTTTTATTCAACAAATGCCCCATATTTGCTACCTTTATTTTGGTTGATTACGTAACCTAATATGCCTTTAGTCTTTGTTTTTAGATATTTGTTACATTAGAAAAATGGTGAATTACTATTTGTTCTTGAAGAGGGAGTGATTAAATTATTACTCATTATTTGAGTTGTGGCTCTTTTGGATGAAAATTGGAATGCCATGTTAAAGTACCCCAGCAGTAGTTTGAATTGGTTTTATCAGTAAAATCCCGTTTCCCTTGCATGTACCCAATACAGAAGGAAAAGTAAATTTCAGAATACCTTTTAGTTAAAAACACCTGGTGCATGCAACCAAAGCAAGAAGTGATGGTGAGTTGAAGGAGTGTTTCTGGAAACCACCTTTTCAAGATTTTGGAATTAGTACATCTCATCCTCTCCCACCTTAGTTTGTTGGTTTGTTGGTTTCGCTGGTTATGGAAAAGATAAAAGGCATACCTTCTTTTTTTTTTTCAGTCCTTTGCTATCTCTCAGCTCTGAACGAGCCAGTTATTGAACTGAAAATACACCGAAAAAAGTAAAAAGTTTCCAAATCTGGAGAAGTAGCTGCTG